ACAACTCTGATGGGCCATTTTTCCTCTAGAGGTCCCCATAGGGTTGACTGAGGTTGTCAGACCTGCACTGCAACCTGTTTTTCCTTCTGCCACATTCCCCTTCCCTCCCATAGGTGTTAATATCCAGAGCACTCTGTAATGAAACTCCTAATAGTAAACTCTGTCTCCAGTTTGCTTTCTAGATGACCAAACTTGTGATAGTTTCTTATGGAATATTCCATAAAAGCAGATAATAAGATGGGGGTTTTCAGTGAGATCATTCACCCCACAGCAGGCAGTGAGAACCCTATCATTGGTGATAGGTGGGCACAGATAATCCCTGGTATGAGTCCAATGTTTAAAACTTCCAACGGTGATGAATTGGGATGGTGCACCAGGAGAAGAAAATATACTAATTGATGCTGATTTTAACATTTCCTCCTTTAATTTTTGTCCGTTTGATTACTGAGTGCCGCGGCATGTTCCTCTTTGGGTTAATCCTGTATGGGACTCTCTGCACTTCCTGAACTTGGGCGACTGTTTCCTTTCTCAGGTTAAGGAGGTTTTCAGGTATTGTTTCTCCAAGTATTTCTCATGTCCTTTCTTTCTCTCTTCTCTTTTCTGGGACCCCTGTAATGTGAATATCAGTATGCTTCATCTTGTCCCAGAGGTCCTTTAAACTATCCTCATTTCTTTTCATTCTTTTTTTCTTTTTTCTGTTCTGCAGTAGTGATTTCCACTACTCTGTCTTCTGAAAACTCACTGATATGTTCTGCCACCTCATTTAGTCTATTCTTGGTTCCTTCTAGTGTGTTATTCATTTCAGTAATTTTATTTTTCAGCTCTGTTTGGATATTCTATATATTTTCCGACTCTTTGCTAAAAACTTTACTCTGTCCATCTATTTTCCTCCTGAGTTCTCTGATTATCTTCACAATCATTACTCTGAACAATTTCTTGGGTGGCTTACCTCCTCATCACTTATTTCTTCTGGGATTTTATCTTGTGCCTTTGCCTGGAACATTACTCCTTTGCTGCCTCATTTTGTCTAAATTTCTATTTGTATTTTTATATAGGTTAGTTATGTTGCTTGATCTTGGAGAAGTGTCCCTCTGTATGAGACATCCTATGCATCCCAGCAGTGCAATCCCCTCTTGTCACCCAAGGGCCAGGGTCCAGCTGGTTCCAGGGTAGAGTCTGGCCTCTGTTTGTGAACTCCTTCCACAGTCTATGGGATTGTTGTTTTCCTATTTCTGTTATCTGCCCCCTGGTGGATGAGGTTGAACTAGAGGCTTATGCAGGTTTCCTAGCAGGAGGAGTCGATGTCTGCCCACTGCTGGGTGGAGCTTGGTCCTGGCCCTTCGGTGGGGTTGTGTCTAGAGGCTGCTCAGGAAGTCTCTGATGGGTGGGGCTGTGTTTCCACCCAGTATCTTGTTTGGCCTGAGGCTTCCTAGCACTGAAACCTACAGGCTGTCGGGTGGAGCCAGGTCTTGGCGGCAATGACCCAAGCAAGTTGTCAGTCTCCAGGAAAGCTCATGTGGATGAACACTCTCCAAATATCTACCATGAGCTTTTATGTCCCCAGGGCGAGCCACAGCCATCCCACACCTCCCCAGGAGAACTTCCAAAACCTGCAGGCACGTTTGGCCCAGGATTCTGTGAAATCACTGCCTCTGTTCTTGGTGCCAGCACATGAGAGGTTCTGTGTGTGCTTCCCAGGAGAGGGAAGTCTGTTCCCCCTTGTCCCGTTGAGCTTCTGCAGTTAAGCCCTGCTGGCCTTCAAAACCAGATGTTCTGAGGGGCTCCTCCTCTCAGTGTCAGAACCCCGGGCTGGGAGCCTGACGTGGGGCTCAGACTGCCACTCCTGTGGGCGGGCCCCTGCAATATTATTATTCTCCAGCTTGTGGGTCACCCACCTGGGGGGAATGGGGCCCGACTATATCATGAGTTCACCCCTCCTACCATCCTGTTGTGGTTCCTTCTTTATGTTTTCAGTTGAAGATCTTTTTTGCTATTTCCAGTCTTTTTATATCGGTGGTTGCTTAGCAGTCAGTTGTGGTTTTGATGTGATCATGAGAGGAGGCAAGCTCCTGGTCCTACTACTCTGCCATCTTGACTGGAAATCTATATATCAGGTATTTGAAAAAAATAAGGAAAATAATGCTACAAACACAGTGAGGTCAGTTTTCTATTGCTGCTGTAACAAATCACCACAAACTTAGTGGCTTCTGCAATTCAAATTTATCGTCTTACAGTTCTGTAGGTCAGAGGTCTGGCACAGGTGTCACTGACCTATAAGTCAAGGTGCTGGCAGGACTGCATTCCTGCCTGGAGGCACCAGGGGAGGATCTGCTTCCTTGCCTTTTCCAGCTCCCAGTGGCTGACTGTAATCCTCGGTTCATGGCCTCTTCCTTCATCTTCACAGTCAGCAGTGGGAGGTTGAGCCCTTCTCACGCTGCCATCTCTCTGGTGTTCTGCACCAGGTAAGGTTCTCTGCCATGTGGGTGGGCTTCATCCAATCCACTGAGGGCCTGAATAGAGCAGAAAGGTGGGGGGAGGGTGAATTTGCTCTCTGCTTAAGCGGGGACATCACCTTCTCCTGCCCACGCTCCCGGTTCTCAGATCTTTGGACTCAGATTGGGACTTATATCATTGTCTCTCCTGGTTCTTAAGGCCTTTCGGTATGGACTGGAGCTACACCACTGGCTTTCCTGTGCCTCTAGCTTGCAGATCATGGGACTCCTCATCCTCCATAACCACGTGACCCAATTTCTTATAATAAATCTTTCTCTCTATGCATATCCTATTGGTTCTGTTTCTCTGGAGAACTTGGGACACATACACAATCCATCTCCCATTCCAGTCCCAACTCCCAACAGTACCTGCACACACAAAGGCCTCAACCAGTTTCAAATACCCAATTGACTAATCAGTGGGTACTTCATGAACAGCTTTGCTCAGATCTGTACCTTGGCTTTAAGGAACCTACTGCAACAGTGTTTATTTCACCTCCACCCTTCCCACCAGACTGCAAATTCCATGAGATCATGGACTGTGTCAAGCATCCCCAGTCCTGAGATCAGGGGCCTGGCACTTGCTAGGTCTGCTACACATTAAAAAATAAATAAATGAAGGACTAATGCTGCTTCTCTAGAAGCCCACTGCCTTGTGCAGGGACAGAGCTGCGGGAAGGAAATGAGGGGCACAGGAGAAGACTGACATCTGGGAAGCAATGATCAGGCTGCATAAAACTACAGGATATAATTAACGGCTGAATGAATGCTGTGACACTAACACTGTTTTTGGAGGTAGATGAAGCAAGGCTTCCTGGAGAAGGTGGGACGTCCTCTAGACCTTGAACAGTACATAATGTCCACGCAGCTGAGAATATTTGGGATTGAGAGGGGCCCAAGCCCATTTGTTCATGTAACACATAAGTACTGAGTGTTTACTGTTCGTGGTGCTTGGGATACAGCAGTGAACAGAAGAGACAAAAATATTTGTCCTCATGGAGTTTACATTCCTGTGGGGAGAGATGGGTAATAACAATAAATAAATGAGTCTGTGGTAGATTAGCAGGCACAGAGTGTTTTGAGAATAAGGCAAAGAAGAATGATACAGAGAGTGAGCAGGGTAGAGTGGGTATGAGGATGGGCTCCTTGAGAAGTGAGGTAGGGAGCCATGCAGATCTTCAGGAGAAGGACATGTGGGCAGAACGAACAGAAGGTGCAAGGGTCCTGAGGTGCCTGTATGCCTGGTCTCTGCAGCTGGCTCAGAGAGAACTAGGGCAAGAATAGTAGGAGTTTGGGTTCGGATCTTTCCTTTACTTGAAGTGAGGGAGGAAGCGTTGGAAGGTATATTAGTTTCCAGTCACTGTGTAATTATCAGAAACCTAATGGCTTAAAACAATATATAGTCATTGTCCCCATTTCCAAGGGTCAGGAGTCTGGCATGCTTTCACTGGATCCTCAACTCAGGGTCTCCCCAGGCTGAATCATGGTGACAGCTGAAGTTGCAGTCTCATCTAGGATGTGGGACGCTTTTCCAGGTTCACTGACTGTGGCAGAACTCAGCTATTTGCAGTTTTAGGACTGAGCTTCCCGCTTTCTGGCTGGCTGTCAGCTTGGTGCTATTCTCAGCCCCCAGAGGCCACTTGCTATTCCCTGCCACATGGCCCTCTCCCTCTGGATGTTTTGGAGGGCATCTCTGCTGCTTCGAATTCCTCTGACTTCCTCTGTCCCTGACCTCTGGACTTTCTTTTAAAAGGGCTCACCTGATTAAACCAGGCCCACCCGCCACCCACACCAGGGGCAGGAATCTTGGGACCATCTTAGAATTCTGCCTACCACAGAGGGCTTCGAATAGGGGAGGGGCATGGTCTGGCTTATGTTTCAGCAGGATCAGCTGGTTCTGCATCGAGAATGGACTGAGAGGAGCATAATGGGAAACAGGGAGAGCAGTTAGGTAGCCCTAGTAGGGTGCTGGGATGGGGAGGGCTGAGAGTGCGTGGTGAGACTATTGCATGGCCAAGGACTGCCTGGAAGCCTAGCTGGACATCCTGGGCTTTGAAAGGGCCATGGTAGCATTCTGAGTTGGGGACCAGTGTAACTTTAGATTTACAAAAGCTCCAGGGCTCTGATGCTCCTTCACCTCATCCTGTAAAAGGATTTGCCAATAGTAAAAGCACCATGGTTACCAATGGGCAAGAGGCAGAGAGGAGGGGAGTGCAATGCATCTGGGTTTTCTGAGGATGCTGGAACCAGGAGGGGCAGGTGACACACCTGAGAGCCTACGAGCTTGGGCTCAGGCCAGCGCCTTGTCTCAGCACCTCCTGTCACCCCTCCTTTCCTTGTCAAGGAAGACATGTCACAGGGTCCCACAGAGGGGAAGGCAGCAGTGGCTCTGAGCCGTGGAAGGCAGCAGCAGTCTGAGAAGCTCAGCAGGGATGTGCCTGTGCATATCCACCCATCTGTCTCTGAGACTTGCCACTACTCCCCAAGGCAGAGAAGAGAGAGCACGAGGACGCAGTGTGAGCAGGGCTGGTGAGGGCTAAGGTGGGACTCGATGTGAAAATACCAAGCCCGGCCTGGCACAGAGCAGGCTGGCTCTGTGGGGCCAGCTGATGGCACTCCATCCTTGCCTCTGGGAGTTCACAGTTTTGTTGAATGGGAGTTTTCAAATAGCCTGTATGCAACAAAAATGTGTGTGTGTGTGTGTGTGTGTTTACTCTCAAGTCTGACTGGGTTGAGGTCCTGGCTCCAGCCCTTACTTGCACAATGTTGTACAAACCACTGAAACCTCTGTGCTGTGGCTCCCCTTTGCAAATGTGGTGATGGTAAGAGTCCCTTCTCAGAGAACTGGTAGAGGATGGCATTCATGATGTGAACTAACATTGGTCAAGGTTAGTTGGTTTAGAACAGTGCCTGGAAAATAGGTATGTCATGTAAGTGCTTGCCACATAAAAAGTGTGAAGTTCAGAATCTCCAGTGATGTCTCCACCTTGTGAAGTTCTTTCTCAGTTCCTGGAACCGCCTTGTACTGGGTGTGACTGCAAATGCTGGGCTGATGACTCAGGGTCACACCTTTTGGGGTGAACAAAGGAGAGAGGGACCCCAGGTGTTCCTGGGAGGACACTGGTGGTCACGTGGGCTGGGCCGCTGGGCCGCTGGGCCATCTGTGTGTGGCCTCCAGGCTCCATGTGGACCTCTGAAGCCCAGGTTCTGGGGATACGAACTGGGACTGAGCTTTTAAAAGGTCCTCAGGAGATTTTGGTGCCTGACTATGGCGCTCACTAATACTGTTGATTTGTCTTCTCTGCCTGTGTTTAATTTTGACTTTTGCCTGTGGAGAGGGTGCGTGTGTGCGAGGTAATCCTTTGTCATCCACCTGCTCTGACAGAGTTATGGTAGCAACTGGCTTGGATGTGGGTTTTTGTACCAAAGCTCATTTCACTGTTAGGTTGGTGAATAAAGCTCGTTACTGTTCTGGCGTGACTGTCAAAGACATAGCGAGCTATCCCGTTCTCCACCCCCGGCTCCCTCCGAATGCAGGAAATATGTGGGCCTAACAGCTCCTTTCTGCCCATGGCCTCCATCCCTTTCTGAGTCAGGTGGAAATATCTGAGGGCCAGCAGGACTGACAATGACTGTTCTGGAAAGTCAGAAAGGGAGGCAGAAAGACAAGGCCTAAGCTTGGTGTGAAGAAAGCAGGAGAGCTTCCAAAAAGTGGAGAAGACAAGCCCCTCCCCAGAGCCTTGGGCCTCCTGGCGCTGCTAAGAGGGCAGCCAAGTTGAAGAATTTACAGTCGTACCTCTAATGGGCCCTCTGTCCATCTGCCCCTCGCACCCCAGTACGGGAATAGGTTGCTCAGAATGGGGCTGTCTGTCTTTCTGACTCTCCCTGACTGCTTTGTTATGGCTAATGGGCTGAATTCTAGTTACGCAACCTCCTCTCAGTGAGATGAAATCTCATTACTGTACAGTGTGGTGCACACCAGGCCTGGGTTCACGTTGAGCTACCTGAGGGAAACTGGAACGTGCTGTTTCTCATCATTTCCACCCAGCAAGAGAATCGGAGAGAGAGCGCTACATCCAAGCCAATTATGATTTGGTCCTTTGGGGCTGTTATGTAATCTCCCATGGATGGTGGCGTGGAGCAGGCCTCGCTGTTCCAGTGGGCACACCGGCCAGGGCAGTGTCTTTTCCTTATTTGGCAGATCTTGGGGAAGTAAGCTCTCTTTTGAACTCAGAGGATTTTGAAGTGCATTTATATGTGGTTGGGTTGGGGGCAGGGTACTCCTGAATTCATTTGAGACTTTCTTGTGCATCAGTAAACAAAAATAAGAAAATGAACAAAACCAAAGAGAGGTCTTCCTTCCAGGCCTGGTAACTGCTGTGTCTTAGGTCCCGACGTGAGCTCTGATCTAGGCAATTCAGGTCACCAATACAAGAAACTTTCAATCCAAATATGAAAACTCTGACTCCCAGGAAAGGTGCCTAGGTCCATTGGGAAGCAGAAGCTTCGATGAGATGCCAGGGACTGGAGTGAAGGCAGCAGGATGGCATGGTGGAGGAGTTCGGGGGCTTTGGGCTCAGCAGATCTGGTTTGGCTCTGCTCTGCTGCTTACCAGTCACATGATCTTGGACAAGTCACCTTATCAGTTAAGGTCCAGTCAGGAAAACAGAAGCCACCTTTAATCTTTCAATAGAGGGTATTTAGTTTAACAGAAAATGGAAGCACTGAAGAGACCAAGAGCGGGGGTGGGACACACAGGACCAGCACAGCAGGAAGCTGCCGCCCCCTGGGACCCAGGGAGGAGGTGGTCTTATCAGACTTCAGAAGTGTTCCTGGGAGCTGTGACCATGAGAGCAGGAATGTCAGGGGGAGCTGGAGTCATAGAGGAGACAGAGCCATGGCTAGAGATGCCGTTTGTAGCAGAGAATGATGAGGAGAGATGCCTCCACTGGCTGAGCCTGCTCGAGGGCAAAGGACTCTGGGAAATGCATCTTCTGTGATACAGAACAAAGCAAGGAAGGGCAGGACACAGGTCTAAGAACAGAGATGCGTGGCTTGCACAGCCACCAATGCCTTTGAATAAATGATGTCTAACATGAACCATGACTGCTATCCCTGGGCTGAAGCATGGACTGGATGGACTGATGGACACTCTCCATTGTCTAGGAGGGGAAGGAAACACAGTGTTGCCTCTGTGGGTACCTTCCGGACACAGCAGCTCAGCCCTCTGTGATAACCTCAACAGGGCAGAGTCAGAGTTAACCTGACCCCGTGGGCTTCCATTTTACTGCTTGGTTTCTTTCTTTTAGAGGCTACTTACTTCTTCTGAGAAGGCTACTCAGGCAAAACCCAGATCTGCCTGAATGAGTGCAGAGAAAGAGATTTTAGGGAGAGTGGGAAGCTGATGCCATACTGGGTGTGGTGGAATGCGTATGTCAGACAAGCCTGCTCTGCAGTGTCCTATCCAGCTGGTGTTTGGAAACCTCAGGCCATCTTCATCCCCTCCTCCTTCTCTCTCCCCTCACTTTCCACCCCCTGGCCCCCATTGCTATCAGTCCAGTTCCTGGTAGGAAAGAGATGCTTAAACTAAAGGAAGTTTAATGAAGGTTCTAGTTCTGTGTGGACAGGTTCAGGGAATCCACATGGGATGAAATGGTGACCCATCAGGGACAAGCGAGATCTGGAAGCTATAACCACCAGAGGCCTTCAGGGCTTGGGGAAAGGTGCCATACTGCAGGAGCCTCTGGAGAGCTGGGGCTTGGAAGAGGGTCCCCCTCAGAGGCTATAATCAGAGAGGTACACAGGCGCTGCATTCCCCAAACTGGTAAGACGTGGAGGGAGCAGAGGCTTAAATACCCATGTGTCTCATCTCCTGCTGGGGCCAGCCTCGGAGGGCAGAGAGGGTTGGGGGACAAATGCAGAAAAATCAGCATCTACTCTTCTTGTCACGTGGCATCTATTCTTGTCCTTTACTTAGTGAAGAGACTTGTGTTTTTCTCACACAGGGGAAGCCCCAAGGTCCTTGAACCCCTCTATCATCATAGGGTGATGTTGATTTAATCACTCTCCAATCTCAAGCCTAAATTATTGTGTTGGCCATTGCTCTTCATATAAAGCAGGAGAAAAAAGTAGGAAAAAGAATTAACATAAAGCTTTTCTTCTTCCATCGCTCATTTTGTGTTCCCCTGACCCTCTGCCAGCACCCTGACCCTTGGGTACCTGGTGGATGATCCAAACCTTCATTTTCACAGGATCCGTGGCTTTAGTGGTCTCATCTTTTCTGAGTTGCCTTGGTTTCCCACTGGCCCTTATGATTGGACATGAGTGCACTGACAGATGTCTCAGGGAATCCTCTCGATTGCAGTCTTAGTGCCCTTTGCCCCTATGTGTGGCAGCAACCAATTTCCCCTTGTTTTAATTTAATTAATTCATTAATCATCCCTTCTCCGACTGTCCAAGTGACTGGGGGGTGGGTGTAGGGCTCAGCTTCCAACTGAATGCAGCTCCGATTGTGTTCTCTGGTGGAAGCCTTGCTCCAAATACACTATCTTAGTTTGGGTTCCTTCAAAAACTGACCTCAGGACAAGGACCTGGGTGTGGGTAGTTTACTTGGCAGGTGATCCCAGAAAACATGAATTGAGAGTGCGGAGAAGTGAGACAAAGAAGGAAGAAAAGCTGGGGGGAGGGTATAGCTCAACTGGTAGAGCACATACTTAGCACACACAAGGTCCTGGGTTCAATTCCCAGTACCTCCTCCAAAAATAAATAAACAAACCTAATTACCTCTCCCCTGTAAAGAAAATTAAAATTAAAAATTTTTAATTAAAAAAAAAGAAATAAGAAAAACCAATAAAAGGTGAATGAATGATCAGATGGCTATAGGCAACTGGGCTTGGTCCTGCCGGATACTCAGAGACAGTGGGAAACACACTTCAGAATCATCCTACCAGAGAACAGGGAGGCTGGGGCTTTGACTCCCATCCCTCCTTGGTAGAGGGTTTCTACCTAGAGAATGACTTTTCCTTGACTTTTAAGTATCTGTGGGAGAGCAGGCTCCCACAAGGCTGGAGAAAGCCCTTTGGCAGAGAAGAGAGGCATGCACTTGGCGCTGGCTGGGACCTGCCTGCTGCACTGCAGGGGACTCAGCTGGGTCCCAGGAAGCAAGGCGTGGGCCAAGCAGCATGTGTCATCATCAGTGAGCCCAAGGGAAGCAAGAAATCCCTAAAGTGGGTTATTGGGCAGTAAGAGGAGTCAGTCTCACCTTTGCCTCTTGGTTCTGGAACCTGGGTTATCTGACTTGAGGGGAAAGAACAACCATATATTGGCCACTGTACCTCATCCTGTAGGAGAGCACCTCAGCCTTATGGGAGGGGGTCCCCAGCTAGCACCAGGGTAAAGGGACTGTCCTACTGAAGCTTTGGCCATAGATGAATACAACCTGCAAAACCTTGGTGAAGTAGGGAAGCAGTGAGAGCATAGAGGGCATAGAAAGAAATACCCCAACCTCTTGCCTCTATTTTTCTCTTTTACGGTCTCTTACTGGTGCCTCTCATTGGCTGAACTCAACCAGAAGCAGAGGGCAAGGTGGCCTGGATGGTGCAGCCCACAGGGGTCAGTCTTGTGGAAGACAGCACAGGACAAAGAGCCAGATGGATGGGGGGGAGGAGACAGCAATGGAGAGTAACCAGTATGCAGTCTAGTTGAATGCCTCCAGAAATTCTCCCCACTTTCTATCCATTCCCACAGTCATCGTCTCTGTTCCAGCCTCATTATCCGACGATCCTTACCCCACCCCTGGAATATTGGGACAATCTCTTAACACGGCTCTGTATCCCCAACCCACTGTGCGTAACGCCTGCGGCACAGGCTGAGTCCCATCACGCCTTCTCGCACAGAACTCCTGGTGTTCCCCATTCATTTCACGTCACTGAAGGTGGCCAGGTGCAAGGCATGTTAGAGGATAAAAAGATGATTCAGAGACTCCACTCTTTATTCCTTACAAGGAGGATAGCTATTAAGAAGCTAGAAATGGATAATTTTACCAAAATGAGGTGTGGTTTAAAAGGTATGTAAATTTGGACTCTTAAAAGTCTTAGAATCATATTCAGGGATCTTCACAGTTTAACTCCAAATTTTCCTCCAAGACTTGTTTTCTAAGACGTGTTCTACTGCATTCTCCCACCGTGCCCTGGTTTCCAGCCCTGCTGATTGCCAGGCATTCTTTGCACCATGTACGGTCAGGATTCAATGCCTTTGCTCTTGCTGTTCCTTCAGCCTGGGAAGCCTCTCCCCAGCTGGCTCTTGGGATGGTCCGATCAGTCACTCACAGCCGAGTGAGTCAGAGCACCAGGCTTCCAGGGCCTCCTGCTTGGAGTGTGGTCCTCACACCAGCAGCACGGCATCATTGTGGGGCTGGATAGAAGTGTGACTCTCAGGCTTTCTCAAGCCTAGACTCGGAATCTGCATTTGGATCAGACCTCCAGGTGATTGTTATGTATTTGAAAGTCTGAGAACCATCAGATGTTTTGCGAGTTCCCTAGGTGGGGCTTGTAGTGTGAGCAGGGCAGCTTGCCCCCTTCCCGGTCATCCCGGGATAAAGTGCAAAGGCTCAGTTTTTAGTTAGCTGTAAGCTGTTTGTGTTCTTACCTCTTAAGTTATAAGGATGAGAAGGCTAACAAAATGGTTAAGGGGACGGGGTTTTGCATGATACAGTCACGGGTTCAAATCTCAGCTCTGCCACACATTACCTTGGGGAATTTAATAAAAGCAATTAAATCCTTCTCAGCCCAAATTTTCCAAAACATAACGTGTTAATGATATCACCACATAGGTGCAAGGGTCAAATGAAATAAAATATGTACATTGCTCAATTAGTGTTTACTGCATTTGTTATTTTGCAAACACATTAGGCGATCATTGGGCAAGAAGTGAGAAGCCCTTGGGTGGGAAGGTCTGGCCCCTGTAGCCAGTGATGGGAGAGGCAGGAGCCCAGGGGCCTCAGAGTTGGAAATCAGGGCAAACAAATGCACGTCTAAGAGCAGCTGAGTCTACCTGGCTGAACAGATGCTTCCCCAACAGAACGACGTCCTTAGGCACTGTCTGGAAGGTAGATGGTATCCTGGCGGGCTCCCTGGAGGTGGGGTTGTGGGGGTTATGACCCCTCCCCTGAGGCAGGAAGTCAGCTGTGTCTGATCAGATGGGTCTGAAAAGGAGATATGCGCTCTCCTCCTGGATGACTCATCTCAAGTAACCACCACCATCTAACATCAGACTAGTGCAATACCACTTACAAAACACTCATCTCCATCATCTCTTTTAAATTGGGCTGTGACAGGGTGTAGTGTGCTTGTTCATGTCTCCCATGACTGCCCACTTGTGCTGCTTCACACAGAAGAAATGGTGGAGTCAAGGTGAAAGACATCTGGAATGTGTCTCCACAGACGCTGGCATTTTGAGCAGGGAGCAGAAGGACCTGCGGGTCCATGATGCGTTTTCATCCCTCCTTCCTGTGGAAGGTTGTGACTTTGGAAGAGAGAGGAGGCTGTGGGAGGTGAACACTGGCTCTGGGGAGGGTTTTGAAGTATGAGATTGGTGGACTTAACACCCTGGAGTGATGGGTTGCTGGCAGGGACTCAGTGAAAACCCTGGAACGTGGCTTTTGTCCTGGACGCTTGCCAGACTTACCTTGAAGACTTTAAAGGGTTATCTGAGACTGTGGAGAATGCCCAGAAAAGAGTGGAGCTCTCAATATGATCAATGGCATATGGAGCAACATAGAAGCAGTTAATACATTTTCAAACAAAAGTAAGAAAGAAGGGTTTGGGAACATGACTGTAGACCCCAGACCCAACAGCACAGGGTGTGGGCCACAAATAATCTGAACGTGAATGTTAGTGCCCGAAGGTAAATACATGTGCAGATTTATTTTCTCCATCTTGTAGGTTTATGTCAAACTGAGGACTGTCACTAGCTCTGTGGCTATGCCACACACCCTGTTCCAAAGAGGCAGGTGGCACAGTGGTTAAGTCTTGGTCTCAGGCGTTCAAATCCTGGCTGTACCTTTTACTCACTGTGTGGCTTTTGGCCAGAATTCTGGCTTTTCTATTCTTCTTCTTCTTTTTTTTTTATTCTTTTCTTTTTCTTCAAAGAAAAAAAGAAAAAAAATTGGCTATTTACAAACTCTTGTGTTGAGGGCTGACTTTCAATAGATCTCAGAAAGGGAGCTGCTGTGCTATGTACGAAACCCCGACCCAGAAGCAGGTCGTCTATGAATGGTTTAGCACCAGGTTCCCCGGGAACATGCAGTGCAGGCAGCCGCGCGCCCCGTGTCCCAGGATGAAGGGGTCTCTGTAACTCTGACTTTCCTTAGTGGTTATTTTCTCATCTGTGAAGCAGGAATAATAGTCAAGACTATCTCGTAAGATTATTCAGAGGATTCAGTGAGATGATGTAAGCAAAGAACACCATTAGATACAGTCAGTGTTCCAGTATTCTCAGTGGAGCCTTGCCTGTTCTGGTGACCCAAGCTGACCCTTCCAGGTGTTCTCTCCAGGTGCCCTCTCTGGCCTGACCTGGATTTCCAGAGGCACAAGGAAGTCCAAAGTTCCCCAAAGCCACACAAAATACCACACGGGCAGAGAAGGAGCCCCTAGGCAGGAGACAGGAGGGAGCAGACAGTAAAGTAGGAGGAAAACCACGGACAAGTGGTGTCTTGAAAGCCAGGGAGGATAGATTTGGTGAGAGAGGGGTGATCACCAGTGTCACGGGCTAGGGAGAGGGGAGCTGTGCTGTCCAGGCTTGGAGAGCGGAAGCGGACCCCTGAACCTGGGAGGTGTGGTGTGATGGGAGGTGGGAGACCTGGAGGTGGCCCCACCTGCTGTGAGATCTTAGAGTCCGTGGACCTCTCGGTCTTGGCCATCCTAACTGTTATGGTTAAATGACTTACTCTTTCAGACTTCTTTTAGCTTTAAATGATCCTATGATTAAAGAATTGACTTTAAATTGGAAATTAAGTCTCAATTCAACATACATTTACTGAGCACCCAGAAAACTCAAGACCCTTACTATGTTGAAGGCACCTGGGGGAGCACACACCTGGACCCAGAATCCTGGATTCATCGCCCACTGTAGTTTGATCTGGGATGAATCATTCACCTTTCTTGATCCTCAGTTTGCCCTCATGTTCTAATAGTTATTGATCCCTGGCGGTCCAATCAAAGTACCAGGTGTTTTCAATTAAATTATCTTATTGATTACTGACAAAGCTACGAAGAGTTTATGGGTGAGGAATGGGACTTAGAGAAGTTGTGTAATTGGTTCAAGGTCCCATGTCTGTGAGTCATGGAGCTGGGAGGTGAGCAGAAATCCGTTTTCCCCCACACACACTGCCTCTCCACGCCTGTTGGCCACTTTCCCCATAAGCAGAAGAGACACTGCCAGGGTGATGATTATTCATCTCTCTCTCCTGTTAGGTGTAAGATTCTTAAAAACAGGGGCTGATTCTGAACTACGTTTCTGTATTCTTAGAGGCTAGCAGAACACCTGATATACAGCAGGAGCTCAAGAGATGTTGGACCAGGGATTAGCATGGGCTTTGTGGATGGACTGAAAGATGTAGTCATTGTTCTCAGGGACTCAAATCTAATGGTGATATGGGCAGACAACTATATAATGACAAAGCAATGAGAGACTTACTTTAATAGACATATGTATAATGTGCACATTTTTTCTAATGATTGAATTTATCTGTGTGAATACATTTTTTCAATTAAATGATTAAGGTAATTTTTATAAGGAATATTTCAAGCATACAGATATAAAGAATTGGATAATGAACATCTGTGTATCTGTCACCTAACCTTATCAAATCTTAACATTTGTCGTGTTGCTTCACATGAAAACACACACACACACGAACTGCAGATCAGCTGAAAGAATCTATGTATTTCCTAAGCTCTCAGTCCCTTGTTAATGTGAATTTCAGTTTATTAACCCCATGTATATTCTTATGTACTACTGCTTTGTATATATGTATCCATAAACAATCTATAATATAATGTTTTTTGTTTTAAAGCATTATATAATTGTTTTCATAATGTAGGTATTAATCCTTAACTTTGCTCTTTTGCTCAAAATTATTGTTTGAGATTCATGTTGATATACTATACCTCTAGTTCATTCATTTTAACTCATGTATAATATTTCATATCATATTTTTTGAGTGTTTTAAAATAACAAATTAAAAGTGATACTTGCTGCATTAAGTTGGATGATACAGGTACATGTAAAGAAGAGTTACCCCCCCCCCCCAGCCTGTTCTGTCTCCTCAGGGAACCCATGAAAACTGTTTGGCAGGTGTCCTTCCATGACTCTCTCTTGGCTCAGACAAGCATGTATACAGCAAACACAGACGCCTGCCTGCCTGCCTGCCTTCCTCTCTTTTTTTTTTCTTGTTCTTTCTTTCTCTCTCTCTCTCTTTCTACCAAACACATTACCCTGAGGTATGTTTTGTTCCGATTAATCTCTGCACTTTTATTGAATGCATAACTTACTTGCCTTTCATCCTGTGTTTTGTAGAAGTGAGAGGTTAGGCCAGGCCCCACGCCTCTCACCAGAGAGATGCCCTCTGAGCCCTTAAACTGGTAACAGAAGGTCACAAGAGAGGCAAGTGGGAAGAGGCAGAAATGCTCCAGCAGGCTGAGTAGGAGCACCAGGCTTTGGCGGGAAGGTCCTTGGCCATCGTCTAGAACCACAGCTCTCCACTGATATGGGTATATTCAAGTTGGAGTTAGGCTACAGGAGTTTCTTTCTAGAAGCTTTAGAATTTTTTGTTCCCAGTGACCCCCCTGGAGCAACATAATTTTTCAGGCAACTCTGGGTCATCTATGGACTGAGTTATAGATTCCATATATCTGAGAATATGATCTCAATCCACCTCCCACTTCCAGCATTACCTTTGTATTAGCTAGGATGCAGGTTTTGTTACTCGGACAAAAACCTGAAGCTGGAGCTGGGTATAAGATTTCAGAAATCTTGCAAGCTGGTTGTTAAGCACAGCCATCGTTAAAAAATTAATTATGTAAACTCAAAAAGGGATAAGCTATGCTAAAAACAAAGGTAATGAATACTCCAAACTCAGCACTTCCTAATTATTTCACTTCACTTTACGACTTTCTGTGCTCTTACAGTGATTTACGTCTATGGTGTGAGGATGGTGCACGGCTCTGTAAGGGTGTGATGACGCAGGCCCACAGTTCTCACCAGCCAGGCTCCTTTGATCTTGCTGCTCTGGCATCTCCACACCTGCATTCCATCCTGGGTCCAGGGAGGCTCGTCTAAGCTCTAACATCCTGCCTGTACCCCCAGCCAGAGGAAAGAGGGAAAAGAGGAGGGGGAAGTTCACTCCTTCCCTTTTAGAATCATGATCTTCAATTTGCATATCTCACTTTTGCTGACATCCCATTGGCCACACCTTGCTGCGAAGGATCCTGGGAATATGGCCTTTTTCTGGGCTGCCATGTGCCCAGTTAAGACTCTCTTTACTCTCAAAAGAGAGAATGGGTACTGGGGTGGGTGGGAAGCTGGCACTCTTTGTTATAACATTTCACGGATTCTTCTCAGCTAGCTCCAGGCCACCAAGCACTCTACCCTACCCTTGCCCCACTTCCTCTGAAGGCCTGTTACAGGGCTCAGGAAAGGTTCTTACCACTGTCACAGCTGGTATAGACATGGCACCTTTCAGCCAATCTCACATCCTCAGCCTCCAGGCAGTGAGAAGAGACTCAGAGGCACATGAACCAGGACCATCTCTTCCAGAGACAGAGCACCAACAGAGGAACAGTGGCGCAGGCACCCCCTCTATTCAGGGCTGAGCTAGGCTCCAAGAGGGGAGGGGATAATGCCACCAGGAAAAATTTGATAGTACCTGCCTCAAGGAGCCTCTAGTCCAGATGAAATGCTTCTACCTGGAAGATCACTAATAATACGGGCAGTATGAGGACAAGGTAATTCCGCTCTAATTTTAAATTCTGGGCAGAGAACCAGTCTCCATGAGCAACCAACTCATGGTTGGACTAAGCTCTTGTTTTTCACCTTTACCGTTATAATCAAATAAAACTTGCAACACAGTTAGGTTGACATTAGTTAAAGATCTACATAATTGTTGTGCTGCCTGGTAATTAGGCGGAAATGGTAAGCAATTCACATAAATGACTATAATTAACATTGTTTTCACATAGCCAACATTTAAAATTTTCCCCGTTAGTCTGTATAGTTCATAGGTTGTCCGTCTTGGTTCCAGCGGTAACTAACACTTTGTAGTAGGTAGGTGCCTGGCTCTCTCCAGCCTCTCGTCTGTGCCCAAGTGGCTTCTCTTGCATTCCCCCACCAGACCCCCTTCATACTGGGGAGTGGCATGGAAAAGCTGTCATGTGCTTGGGCTCTGGAATCAAAATGCCTTCGTGATCCACTCCGTGACTTAAGCCAGGTGAGCTTAGTGAATTGTTTAAGCTTTCGCTTCCCCAGAACTGCCCAGACATAACTCTTGAGACTGTGTCTAGGACATAATTAATGACACATGGTAGTCATTATGAGCTCATTTATTCATTCATCTATTCAACAGAGAAGTTTAGCATCTGCTATTAACCTGGTGCTGCTCTAGGTGCCGGGAATTAGTAGTGAACCTAAGACCTGCCCGACGGTTTACATTTTAGAGGAGGGAGACAGACAGCTCATAAACATCACAGTTTATCAGGTGGTGATACGTCTGAGGAGGAAAACAAGGCATGCTGAGGTATAACAGCGAGGGAGGTTGCTATTTCGGGAGAAGAAGTTCAGGATAAACTAGGTGAAACTGCAGTAACAAAATGACTCCCAGATCTCAGGGGCTTACTTTGGCGCATGCTACTTGTCTGCTGTGGGCCAGCAGGGATGCTGCTCTGCATCTTTACCATTCTGCAATCCAGGCTGACTGTCTTCATCCTCTGGACTTTCCCAGGTCACTACAGCAGGTGGAAGGCGGAACGTGAAGACATAGATCTGGAAGTGACATTAGCCAAGGCAAGTTGCATGCTGTACCTGACTTCAAGGGTGGCAGGGAATGCGGGGCCCTACCTTGTGCCTGGAAGGAGAGGAACCAGAAATATCAATGTGTTGAGTAATCTTCATTTGCCCCAGACATGCTCTCTATCCTTCTCTGCCCTGTTCTGTGCCCTTACACCTGAACTGCAAGGACTGTATCACCAGTGCTCCCTTGCCCTCTGACTCCCGGTTGGATTTGGCCAAAAGTG